CAACACGTCTTTAAAGTATTCGTTTCGCGACGTCTCGTTTGTATTATTATTTTGAATATCTAAATCGATGCGCCCTGCGAGCGTTGATTTTTCGTCATAATAATATAATACAGTGGCGTTTTCTCTGGGTGTGCAAGTTGTGTGTTAACGCCCTAAACATTGATGTCATACATGTGTGTAATATTGTAATTTGTAGTTCATATTAGTATATTACATGGTTATATAATTTTATTTACAAAATCTTAAAATAATTGTCATGTAAAAATAATAATATCAAATAATAAACTATTGTCTATTTTAAGCTCTAAACTCGACCATGCGCCCGCGCCGTCTGCACTCTGCAGCTACGACGCCGATTACGGAATAATATTGTATTATGTTGTGTTTGTGTAGGGTGTAGCCGTGTAGGACGTTAATAATTCGAACAACGACTTGTGGTATCTAATATCTCGTATTCGTAATTTGTCGTGATATTTTCGGATAACTTCGGTGCCATGTTAATACTAGACCAAGTCGTTGAAAATGAAATTAACGACTAGTCATTAGTCACTAGTCTAGCGCTAGCCTATACAGTATACACTGTGTTTGGACCGTTAGTGGGGATCGTAGCGGCTGCAGTGCTGCACGTTATCCTGTTTACGTCGTAGCCCATAGGTACTATACTGCAAGACTGCAACGCCGATCGTCGAAAACATAATATATAATAAATAATTTTAATAATATGTAATATGTGTTTTATTTTATTAATAGTTGATACGAATTTATTTCCCATAAGGGGGGTTTTCCTAATTGTTTTCCTCACACATTAACGCCTAACGACGAAAGTCAGGAAACGCCACTGATATAATATATTTTATAATTATCTACGGTTCGTCGTGTAACGCTCATTATATCAAATCGAATGAAAACGAATCTTATTCGATACGGCAGTGACGACGACCTGCAGTCTAATTACGAACGCGTAATTATATTATTGTTTTACACGAAATTTCAGCAGACGAGGATTGTACGATATAGTTTTATCAGACGAAATCTCTGGTCCTAGGACCTTCTATAATAATATATATTGGTACTGCGTTACTGCTCAAACAACACATGATGATATTTTATGTATATACATACGATGTGATCCATTTAAGTGCATACACTCATTATATTTCGAAAAATTTTTTTTTAATTATATGTTTACAGCATTGATATCAAATTATGTAAGTATATAATATTTTCAAAAAAGTTATGAATTTTCGAAACAATGAATGTAGACACTTATAAATGGATCCTAACCTTGCATGCGTCATTTGTTTTACTGTGTGGCATGACGACTTGGTTGTCTGAAACGGGTTGACTAGTTTGTGAAAACGTAGTGACAGGTAGGCAGCATAATACCTAATATAATATGTAATAAACATAATATTATAAAGATCGTTATTTCTTCAGACTTGCGTGATAAAACCCGAAACGCAGACGAACCCGGGTGTGATTAACTCGTGACGGCGGCCATCGAGTCTAAAATATATAGATCGTCGGACGTCGGAGGCACAAGAGTATAATATTATAGATAATCGCCATGATGTTTTTCTCTCCACGGACGGCAGTGTCTAAACCTGTATGGAAGATTGCCATTTTTAACGACCGCAACATCGTCGTCGTCGTCGTCGAGACGCAACTGGTGTCCATAGGATGTTTATAGGTATATATAGAGGTACGTGTCATTATTATTATAGCATCTGTTGTACCTATATACCGCGGCACCGTAACTTGTAAGCTTTCGCTCAGACGTCGTCGTCGGCGACGTGCGTGTCTCGCGGACCGTCGCACCGGTTCCCATATGGATGGTATGATAGGTATATTTTTATATCGTGTGTTTCGTAACGGATTTTCCACGGCGACGGATTTAAAAAACCAAAAACGTTTCGAAGAACGACGTCGACGTCGGGCCCCCTCGGACAACCGCGGAACGTATAGGTATAATAATATAGGTATAGCTGTTTAAGCCGTTTATCCTTACACACTGCACGCACGGGCGTGGGCGTGCCGACATACGACTGAAACGAGACGGACGAGACGGCGTGTAATTTATATATTGTATATCGCGACCGACGGTCGGCATTGATTGGTGGTTTTTCCCTCGAAAAGAAAACGCCGTGTCGAAACACTAGCCGAGCAAAGTACCTACGCGTAGTGCGTATATACGAGCATACAATATGTGGTTGTATGTGACACCTGCAGGGCCCGTCGTATCGTTTATAACGACCGATATTATAGACCCTCTACCTCAGTGGTTCTTAACCGGTGTTCCGCGGAACACGGGTGTACCATGAACTTGGAACAAGTGTAACGTCAAAATTTTAAATTCGGAGGAAAAATTGTAAAATTGTGAAATTTTTTTTATTGATTTAATTATTTTTAATTGTCTAATTTGTAATTTGTATAAATCTATAATAATATGTAAACTGTATCATGCTATTCATGCATTGTTTAATATATTATACAATTTGAAAACGTACATAAATACATAAACTGTGTTCAGCGAAAATCTTATAAAATATTAAGTTTTTTTTTTTTTTTTATTGAAATCGTCAAAAAGTGCCAATTATTTATTAGTAGTAGTTAGTTAATATTAAGTGTTCCGTCATCCAAAAAAAGGTTAAGAACCACTGCTCTACCTTGTCATTTAGGTACCTACTGCAGATCACGTGATACTATTATGTCATCAACAGCTAGCCGTAAATACGTGGACATTATATTACTATTATTATTATTATTGTTAAACGTATTGACGGCCGGCATACGTGCGGCATAATAAAACTATACACAATATATACATACAATGTACATAATAATATAATATGTATAATATAGCTTTGCGGTGGCGTTTTTCACACGTGTCGGCCAAAATGCGAAATGTGTAATGGATACCATTAAATGGGATATTATTATCGTATTACGAGCGTGAGTGCAAGAGTGCGTGTATAAAGGACACGTTAATATAGAATATGACATATATACTCAATGTACTTATAATAATAATAATAATGTAGGTAGGTATATAAACCGAACTCGATCGCGAATTTCACGAACACGCCTCAGCTGCGATGTCATTATAATATCAACATATAATTATTATAAAGTTGCCCCGTGGCTTCCGATCGTTAATTTTTGAAAATTATTACTTATTCATGTATTGCACCAGTTGTATTTATCGCGTTTATCGAGATGAAATTTTTCGTTTCGATCGAACAGTGTTGTGTAAGTGATAACTCTTCTTGCGTAGGTATAATATGCCATAACTGCAAACACGCGTGGTTGAACACTGTATGCGTACAAGGGTCGTATATAGGGGAGCGTGATGGACGGGTTTATTCAAAGGCCTCTCGGATGTAATGGATCAAAAGTATTTGGACGCTACTGAATTTCCGCATTTTCTAGATCTATCGGCTCGGAACGTCCATCTGATATTATGAACTGAATAATGTTGGGCATACCCGCGGTAAATTCGTACCATAAATCCTCCATCGTTTTGCGTGTATCGTTCAAAGTCGAATATGGTGAAAAAGAAATGCCTCTCTGTCCGATTTCTTTTCGGCCGTTTCGGGTCGTACTCGCGTCGTATATTAACAACATAATATCAGATGATTTAATAATAGTAATATTATGCACAATGTAGGTAGGTATTATCCATTACCTATATGTACTACTCGCAGCCTTGCAGTTTAAAACGATTAATGAAAACGAAATAGTTTTCACTAATGTGAAATACTTAGGTACAATAATTATAGACTGATGGCCGTTTGGATCGTTAATGTGCTATTTTTCGAATGAGAGAAAGATATTTGTAATAATTATTATTGTTACTATAGTTAAATCAGTAATTTTTGAATATGTGTATCACTTGCACGAAATTCTATAAGTACAGTGGCGGCGCCAGGGGTGGGCCAGGGTGGGCCCGGGCCCACCTTAAAAAGTCCCAGGCCCCCCCTGTGGCCCACCCCAAAAATTAAATTTAATCATATTAGAATAGGTACTAAAAAATATCTCATGAATAAATCATGATTTATTAAAATATGAAAATATTAAGTCATAATAGATGGCGTGAACAACATTTTGAATGGGTTGACAACTATGCTCTATGTATGCTTTCAAGCCTCATAAATAACGTGTATTTTCTAGAGGCTGAATACGAAAATAATAAATTATTATTAAATATTCGTTGGTTTTGAGTGTAATTATGGGTTAGGGAGTATACAAATTAAAAAGTGTTTACATGAATATATATTTTGTTAGGAAATAAATACTATTAATACAATACATGTTTACAAATCATTGTTTTAGTAAGTTTACACGATGAAGTGTAAAAAAAATTGGAAGTTGACCCTCCCCCTTACCCCTCTGCGCAATTGCCTGTCATCACTATTGTTTATATATATATATCAAGTCGACAATTTGGCCCTCCCTAAAAAATTTGGGCCCCAGCCTGGCCCACCTGGTATTAAAGTTCTGGCGCCGCCACTGTATAAGTATACACAGTATATATGTAATATTATTCTAAAATGCACGAAACCTATTTACTCATTCCGTGATGTTGACCAATGTTAAATTGCGTTTGTGTACACACGTAATTAGGCAATTAAATAAATTCTATAATATCGTTTAAGGAATAAGGATCAATGAATAAATTGTTGAGTAAAAAAAATCGTATGAAAACCACGTGTTGCGATTGCTTGTAAATTGTATTAGATATTAAATAGTTATACACTAATTAAAAATATGAACAACCAGATATAATAAAAACAAAAGGACACAACAATAGTGAAATATGCATCATAATGTTTTTAATTTAATAAAATTTGATTTTATTGTTACATTATCCGTCGAAAACTTTACTTTTATTGGAATACGTTTTTTTACCTATGTATTTTAGATGCGCTTAAAAGTACGATAAAAGATTAAAAAAAAAAAAATGTATACAAATACAATTATTAATAATCGTTTACACTCACCCTTTGTACGGAAACCATTTTGTATTTTTTTTTTTGGCGTTCGCCGCGGCACTTGCAGATAAAAGGTCGGCGGGGAAAATGTACAACCGGAATCGGAACGCCCGGAAAATATAATAAATATTATATTATGTAGAGGTACAACAGGTAGTTGTGATATGGGTCGTCGTTCGTGACGGAGACGGCGAAGAGTGGCGTCGTGCGTAGTAGTCGCGGTGTACAACAGGTATCACACTGCGACAGCGGAGCGTGAGTATACGATATTTATATAATGTATTTAAAGAAACGTAAGAAAACAATAAATAAATATAAAAAACAGGTATGGAGGTAAAATGTGTGTACGGTTTGGAGTTTGGGTAACTAGACACTAGGGTTTCGGAGGCGATCCGTTTAGATTATATAGTGGACGGGACGTTCGGTTTTCGCCGGGCGGTGGGAACGACGAACGTTATATTATAGTAATAATAATAATAATAATATTTTATTATTGTACGCGTTCCTATGGTCGGTGGCAGAGGGGTGGGGGCGGCTCGAGCAAACCGTAGGAAGAAAAATCGCGGCACGGAAGAGCGCTAAAAAGAGGTGTACCGTATCCGTTGTCAAGGTCTTCTCCGGTGTGCGGCTGCAGATTAGCCGTCGCCGCCGCCGCCGACCGGTTCGAATGGCAGTGGTCGTACCTACGACGACGACGACGACGACGACGACTTAGACGATTTATGTCTTATCCTATTACATATTTTTTCACCGTAAAACGTATAGTGTATAATATATTATTATATTTATATAACACTGCGCCCAATTATACTTTACAGTTTTATATTTTCTTTTTTTCGAATAAATTCGTAGTTATTAGTATTTAGTATGTTGTGACAATATACAACTGTATATTATAATGAGTAGAGGTATGTATAGGTGTGTTATTCCTCTGATGACGAAATCGCGACATAGCTGCGTATATACTATACCTACCTACAATTATTATTATAATATTCTGGAATTGTATAATTTCGTCGTTTCGAGATCCTCCCAAGATTCGAGTCTGGGAGACAGACAATTATTCGGTTATCATTATAATATTATGTTTGAATTTTGTCCATACCATAATATTTTCATCCCAAACATGCCTATTTCATTATACTCGAGTACCCATATAATATTATAATGTTTGACTATTAATTGACAAACCGATAACGAAAACGTATAATTTTACTTTTACATAAATTATAGGTTTATGTCCCTTAATGCAATATGTGTGTAAAGATTAAACGAATTATATTGCTCTGCGGTGACTAGAACAATAATTTACATAGGTTGGGTACCACCTATATAAGATATTGACATATATTATACAGGTACTAGTATAATAGTTGTATATTATATATCCGTGGTATTGATAGGTACCGAATTTCACATGTAAACTGGAATACACACGTGCGCAAAACAAGTTGCTAGAGTAATATAACTATTATAAGTTCTCGAATAATATTATAAACTAGACCTATAATGTATGCATGCAAAAACGATTATAGTAATATACTCTAATAATTTTATTATAAAAAAATACAGGTGCCTTATTTGACTAGAATAGCTAATATTATTATATTAAAATATAATGTCCTAAATCTTGTAAAATTAATTTTATTTGTTATACCTTCGTTTTTTATTACTTGACGTTGTTTTGTAATCTTCTTCTAATTATTATATTAATTACGTAAAATTTACCCGTTGTTCGTTAATAATGAGAATTATTATACAAACAAATATTAAACTTCTTCGAGGTTTTTTATTTATTAATTTTTTAATCACTAATATAATTGTAAAATTATTTTTACAATTAACAAACGTTTAATGAAAACGTTGACCATGAAAAAAAAAATTATTAAATTTAATTAGAGTTTTAATTTTAAATATTTGTAGAGAACAACAAAAGAAATTAGTTACAGTAGAACAACCTTTTGTTGTAAAAATGATTAATATTATGTTTATGGGCTTGAAAATAATATAATCCGCTGTTATTATTATTATCTTTATTTTCAACACTTTTCGGTATGAAATATTTTTTCCGCAATATACTTCACGGATGATATCCAACAACTTGAGATCAATCATTATATATATTTAAACTTCGTGATATATGAGGTACATTTTTAGGTAGGTTTATTTCCTGATCCATACGCACATAGAATCTTCAATAATATTTTTTATGCATATCGAATTGTTTCGTTTGTACCTAATGGTATACATTTTTTTTTTTTCATAAATGTATTGCGAGATTAAAAAAATGTGTACATTTTTGACGAAAAAAAATTATGGGATTACTCATTGACTAATTAAAATTCATTTACAGGTAAAATAAAAAAAAAAAAAACGTTTAATGGCGATTAATTTACAGACAGAGTGAATAATTATTTGAAGGTTACGGAGTCGAAGCTAGGAACTAAAAATAATAGTTACGGGATCGAGTTACAGGAAATACACGGCCAAGTTCAAAATTATCTATTTAACATTAAGCTAATAATAATATCCGTCTTCCAAGTCCAAGGCAGCAATTACCCGGCGAATTACGAATAACAATCTGATTACTGATTGGTGGTGTGTTTTATGCTTGGTTTCGTTCGACAGTCATTATTACCACTCAATCGATTAAACTATAACTTTAAGGTCTACGGTATTTTCACCAAACGGTTTTCGCGAATAAACGCTATAGATAACAATTATAAATATGTACTTAATGATAAAACAGATTACCGTCAAAACGGACAATTTTTTTTTTATGAAATCTTACCACACTATATAATAATAATAGATGTCATCCGAAATAAAAAAGGGATACGATTGTCTGTTTTCATGTGTCGACAATAAAAGGTACATTATACACAAATAATAATATGATTTAAGTAAACCAAACCAATGAATTCGCTAAACGCTAACCTCCTGGTACAAATATCGTAGTTTTAATATTATATAGTTTCAATAATATTAAAATTTTTTTTTATTTATAATTTATAGTTACTTGCGCTACACATTTATTGTACAAAAAATTATTTTTTAACACTGAAAATAAAAATTTAAAATTTTTTTGATTTATTCAAAATATCCAATATATGAATCTGGTAATAAGAACATTTTTTATAGTAAAAACATTTATCTAAGTCAAGTAATTTATTTTTTAGAATTTTTTAAAATATCAATATTTTTTTGATTACCTAAATGAATTTGGAATTTGGATTAAAAACTTTTTTCAACATTTTTTTTTTGGGAATTTTCTGACATGAGTATATTTCTTAAACTATTTACTAATCACATAGTTTTAGCAATTTTTGTCATACGTATAAGTAGTATCGTTTTTTTTTTTTTGGAACAAAGTTCCCTATTTTTTTCGTCAGGTCTTTCTGCTACACCTCGTATATTGTTTTTATTTGTTTATAATTCACGATGCCACGTGGACGTTTCCGAAAGTACAATACATAATAATTAGTGCAGGCAGGTATATAGTGCCTACCTGTTGTACGTCGGTAGCACGCATAAGTCACGCATTAGTCAATAACGGACTGTCGTTATATTCCTCATATAGATTATCTACATTTTGGTTCACTGCGCATTGAGGCTGCAACACATAAACATATAATAATAATAATAATATACACACCGCCACCGTGTATACCTACCTATATCGCTGCCGTCTGCAAGTATTCCCATGTGTTAATGTCATAATTTTTGAAATTACATAAACTATAATCCATTAAGCGACCACTCGAGAGTGTGTGTGTGTGTGTGTGTGTGTGTGTGTGTGTGTGTGTGTGTATTTGTACATTTCAACGTAGAAACATAATAATATTAAAAAACGTAGGTACGCCAAAATAAATATGACATAATAACGCGCACGTGCGGTGTGTTGTATACTTTAATTATAAAAATATGTTATTTCGTGTGTGTAATTGTGTATATGATACAAAGGTATTTCTTCAATTTTAAGAAAAAAAAATCGACGGACGCCTTAAAATAAAGATGTGTTCATATTATATTATAAGCATATTATATTGCATAAACTCATGGGTCCGTGATCAAGAAACGTGTAGGTACACCGCGAGATCGGTATGATATTATTATTATTATTTTAGGCAAATAATGAATTATTATGATGATTATAATTATTATGATACTGGGCGTAAATACAACACAGTTTTAAGGACCAGTCTGTCTTGGTGGAATTGACTTACATATCCGTTCATGTATGTACATACACGATCGCGTAATTAATAAACTTAAATCAAACCGTGTTTTACAATATTTTAATATACATACTAAGTGCAGGTATAATATCATTATTATATGGCTATATTTTCAGTTTCAAAATGGACGAGATACGTTTTTTTAAGAATTATTTAAAATCGAGTACAACTTTCACAAGTGAATCAAAGAAACTTAATTCACGATAATATGCATTATAGTTGAATAATGTAATTTATTCTGTATAGCATTACACTTAAATTTTATCGAATTTAGAACTTGGTTGTTTAAGCAATGTTTATTTTATAATATTTTCTTAATATTTTGCACGACATCGCCTATATTATACAAGACAATATAACAAACATAAAATGTTGAACGTATTTGTTTTTGTTTGGTTAAATATCAAACAAGTGAATTAACTGACTTCTATGCTGTATACGTTAAACAATATAAAAATAATAATGTTTTGTATAAAACAACGCATGTTAAATTGAGGGGAATTAATGCAACAAACTCGAATAATTAATTCTAAAATACTATAGGTATACTATAGTACATATACGTAAATAATATAAGTAAGTCATGATTAAACTGCAGTAATTTAATTAAATATTAATATACCTTTGCTTTATATTATTTGATTTTAGTGTTGGCCTTGTTTCAAAATAATATAATTTAGTTACAGACGGAATATTATTTTTGAACTTAGTAAGAATTAAAGTTTTTGTCCGAGTTGATTCTATACGGCCTATGTACGTAATCGAATATCGTCAAACGGTCTGTGGATA